GGACTGTACCGTCGAGTTCGCATACGATGTACGCGCTGCCCTTGTTGCGCGAGACAACAATGAGGGGGCCTAGATATCGCGGGCGCATTTTGCGGTTGAGGGACTTCTCGATCTTCGTGTTGCGTATGAGCACTAGGGCTCCGCGCTTGAAGTCGAAATCCTGGATTGAGTGCTCGTGCTCTTTCTCGAAGCAAATTGCTGCAGTCCGACGTGCTTCGTAGACCTTCGAGTGGAGTTCGGTGACTTGCTCGACGCGTTTCTGGAGCGCAATGGCTCTTCGGGCGATGAGATCGGTCGTCAAAAGGACCGAAGTCGGTGGTGGTTGCAGGTACGTGGCTTCGACGATGTCGAGAGGAATGAGCGGATGGGTGCCCGTAACAGCGAAATAGGGTGAGCAGCCCATGCATCGTCGAGTCGTGATGCGCTCGGACCAAAATACAAAATACGCAGCTTGGGACCATTTCTTCTCATCTCCGTCGGCTGTCTTAAACAAGGCTTGTCGCGTGCTGAAGTGCGGACGTTCGACGAGCCCGTTCGCCCTCGAATTGTACCCACTGATTCGAATATGGTTGATGTGGTACTTCTTCGAAAGGTAATCGGCCGCCTTGATGAACACCGTACCGTTGTCGGTGACGATCTCGCTGAGTGCGCCCCATCAACAGAGGATGTCTTCGAAGATCCAGTCGGCGAGGGCTTTTGCTGTCTCTTTTCGAAGCATTCGAAACTCGGGGTAAGTCGTGAGCGAGCATCTACCTTGGACCAAGTACTTGTATCCGCCTGAGGCGAGGCAGGCATGTGCATTGTGTCGATGTGAATTTTCGCAAAGATGGGGGCTGGTACTGCGACGGTCGGAGGAATGAGGATTTGACGCACTTGTCGAGACTGGCAGATATGACACGATCGAACGAACCAAGCGATGTCGGCATAGTGGAACGGCCACCAGAATCGCTCATTGACAAAGGCTCGGGTTGCATAGATTCCTCGATGCGCGGTGCGGTCGTGGCATTCTCGAAGTATTCGAAGGCGATCGCCGGGCTTGACGACTAGCTTGTGTGCTCCATGACTGTCCTTGCGCCAGAGGGTGTCGTTGTCGAGGAAGAATTGCATGCAGTACTTGATGAATCCTTCGTAAATGCTTTCGGAGATGCCGTCGGGCTTTGCTAACGTTCGATGAAATTCGAGCATGTCGTCGAGCTTTGCGTCTGCGAGTTGCGCTTGCTCCGATCGAGGCACTAGCTCGTAGCTATCCTCCTCCCTATTGAAATCTGAGCCATCCTCGGCTCTGTCACTGGTGAAGACGGCGCGCATCTGGACGGACGGGAGGGGCTGAATCTGGTGAACGAAGGAATGCATCTGGTCGATCCAATCGTCGAACTCTTCATCGACCTCGTCTTCGATGACATCACCGGGTTGAGCTGTGCGTCGAGAGAGACCATCGGGGCCGTGCATTGTACCGGGGACGTGGACGAGCGTGAAATGAAATGTGAGAATTGAGACGATCCACCGGTTGATACTCGCGCTTGGGGCTATGTCTGGATTCTTCAGCATACCCTTGATGTACCGAGCATCGACTTCGATGATGAGATTCCGAACGCCGATGAGGTAGAGTCGAAGGGATCGTAGTGCGCGGAATAGGCCGTAGATCTCGAGCTTCGGCTGCGAAAACCTACGTTCGCGATCGTTGAGTGTGATCGAGCCGAACCTGCTGTAGTAACGGACTCGCGTGTTGGCCTCGTCGCACTGGCAGAGGTGATATCCAACGGCGATGAACGACGTGTCGACTGCGAGAATGACGGGAGAGGGGGAATCATAATGAATGGCTCGGAGTGCGGGGGATGAGAGTAGCGCGTCCTTGAGGTCTTCCTGCGCCGCGATTTGCTCCGGACCGAACTCGAACTCGACGTCCTTCCTCGTGAGGCGTACAAGTGCGTCGGCGCGGTGAGCGAAATTACGGATGAAGATTCGAACGACGCCGATGGTTCCGAGGAACGCTCAAACATCGGATAGAGTAGCACAGGGACCCCAGTTGCGTATCGCTGCGACGCAAGAGTCGTCGGGGAGGCGTCCTTGAGGAGTGCAGCGATGTCCTACCACCATGATTTCTCGAGCGATGAGGACGCTCTTGACTCCAGAGAAGGTACCTCCGGCGTAGCGCATTCGAGTGACTATGCGATTCAAGTTTTCGAAATGCTCCCATACAAAGCGTCGAATGCCGGGGTTCGAAGGGAGCCGCTCATCGTCGTAGTCGGATTCGGGACCTTTGACGGGAACATCGTCGACGTAGGGCACCGTAATGTGCGGAATCTCGGGCTGGAGGATGTAGGTGACGTTGTCGTGGAAGATCAGGACTGAGTTCGTCCAACCCATCGGGAGTGTTACCAAGTGCATGGCTCCGTAGGGTGTCTGGAACGTCGTTAGATCTCTCGAACACTCGGCGATGAGTCGTTCGTCGTAGCCGACGTAGAGGTCGAGCATGCCGCCGCATGGTCTTCCTCCGAATTGTTCTGCGAGGTATTCGGGCGTTGGCGGTACACCGGAATGTTGGATCGTGACTGCATTGAGGGGCTCGAGGGAATGGACGAGTCGAAGAGATTTACCGTCCTTCTTGACGACACAGAACCAACGCAATCGATACGACGAGTTCGATGGCTCGTAGACTCCGGCGGCGATCTTTCGCTTGATCATCGCGCAGACTTTGTTGTAGATCCCGGGCGGAATGGGGATATTCTTCTGCACCCAGGGCGTGTGAGGAACAACGGGGAAATCGACGGGAGGGAAGTACTCAGGCTTGAAACATCCGCGCTCGTCGTCGGTCCAGGCAAAGGCTTCGTTGTGCAAGCACATGAAGTGGTGGAGGACTCGACGCTCTTCGGGAAGTAGGAAGTCGCCGTCGTGAAGCTTTTCGGTCATTTCGAAGCGTTCGAGGGTGTACCGACCGGTAGGTTTGAACGGCGGGGGGTCGGTCGAAAGCTTAGGCATGATGGAGAGAGGGTCGCCCTTGATGTCTCGAAGTATACGAAATTGTTCGGGGACGGCACCAAGGACGGGTCGGGTTTTGAGAGCGACGGGCTTGTACTTCTTCTTCGTCGCGGCGAGGATCTTGTGCGTGGAAGGGGTAGAAGTCGATGTCGCTGAAGGAAAGGGAAGAATTGAGTTGGAAAGCTGCGAGATGGACTTCGTCGGAGGGGGAGCTGGGGAGTCGAAGCAAACGGAGCTGAAAATAGAAGAGTCGAAGCCCACGTCGAAGCGTTCGACGGGGCGACATTAGCAGCAGTAGTGTCCGAAGTGTAAAGAGACTGCAAATATGAAGAAACGGAGGTGCATGCGGAGAGGTATAGTGACGAGACAGCGTTCGGAATCGAGGAATCAATAGGAGCGACGAAGGAAATACTCGGGTTTACCCCATCGTAGTCGATGACTAGCGCGGCTTCTCCTTGATCATGGGGAATCAATTCCTCGAAGCTAGAAAATGCGCTTTGCGACTCTCGAGA